CGTTTGTACAGAGAGACAGGGAGACGGACGGACTATCGCTATAGTCTTGCTCGCTCTCCGCGGATTGTGGGAGCGGGAGTACCTCTAAGGTAGACAAGATCCAGGCGAACTGCTGCTGTGTGTCTCGACTTATAAAGATGTTGTCTGAACCGTAGGCGCGTGTAGTGCTAGATATCCTTTGTCGTCTAACACACGACCGACAGACTGCCTTGAACTGATGACTAAGTATAAGTATCTATAGCACCTCGCTCACGCTAAGGCACTTCCTCGAGTTACTTGTCTCTCCTTCCGTGCGTATATTAAACACAGTGTCGCTGATGACCGCGATTGACTTCGTGCGTCGGATGGGCGAGACCCCCTCTTATGATAGAGACTCGGCACATTCTCCACCCGCTAAGGCTTCCGCTCAACCGCCAGTCTGTTCGACACCAACGAAGCTTTCCACGGCGCCTTGAGCTGGTAGGGGCGTCAACATCCCACTAGACACCCTCGGCCTGTCACGGTTCACTGTCACAGCCTCGTCTCGCAGGCCAGCCTCGCCATCGCAGTCCCCGCAAACGCTGCGCTCTAATTGGCCGGAATGTGCAGCACGCCGAAACCACGCAGCGAGGCACTTTTTCATAGATCTCTCCGTCTCCCATACAATGCAACCTTTATCGATCACCTACCTCTGTTCCAACACCACACCCTCTTCCGCCTGGCGCCAAAGTGACGTCGCTCGACACGCCGACGAACCCCACACAAGTCTGCCGGGTCCGGTCGAGGACTAAGTCTTGTCGAAGTTGCGACTAGCGGACACCTCTCTTGAGAACGCACTCTCCTACAAGTCAACACGGTCGGCTCGAGATGGAACACCTACCCGACGTACCGATCAGGGCACCAGTGGGCTGGCTTCCCGTCTCGTAGAGAACCTACGGCGTATCGTGACCAGATTGCTAGTAACGCGAGTAGTTCTCTATAACGCCCTTACATCTCGCCACGCGCTACCTCACGAGGTCCTTATCACCAAGCCATTCGGCGGGAAATGCCCGACCGGGGGTTTCCACCAGTCCTGTGTCGATGCCTTCTAGCGTTTCCTACTCCTTTAATATCGAGATCATAGTTTGTCGAAAGGGTGCCTACTTGTCCAATGCACGCACGGTGGGTTTGCCTCTAAGTATTTAATACTTACTATAGCTTTACAGTTGTGCGAGATAGGTGAGGAGCTAGGGAGGGGGCGTGCCGCGGCCCTACACCCGCACGGAACCGTCTTCGGCATCGGTGGTAGGGGATGGTCGGAGCTGCGGGCCAGCACCCTTGTCTTTAGCCTGACGATGCGACGGCGGAGTCCACCTAGCGAACAGGGCGGCCATCTTGCGCGTCACCTCATCATCCACGCGTGCAGAGACGCCGTCGTCTCGCTCGCCCAGCAAAGAAAAGATCTTCTACAGAGTCATCACGAGCTTGTCAGACTCCAGGCGGCGGAGGTGTCGCACTGGGTCCTGGGTCCCTCCTCTTGCCCTAGGCGTCTGTGTCTGGGTGGCACCGACGGTGGTCGTAGCGTCCGTGGCGACCCCGAGCCGTCGAGTTCCGCCGTCTCCCACATCCCACTCTTGTCTAGTCAGGTGTCTGGGTGGTCTCGAGACCCGACCCGACAGCGTCACAAAAGGTTCGTCGGTGACCGTCACGGGGACAACAGGAGCGGCTCGGCGCTCTAGGAAGACCACCAGCGACTGTCGCAGAGCGTCGAGGTCGTCCGGAGCGAGTTCCGTCCTGGACTGGAGTAAAGTCCCGATGTGATACCACATTTCCACGAGCTTCGCCGAGTCGACGAGGCGCAGGTTGTCGAGCCACGCCAAAGATCTGTCTGCAACGTCCTCTCCGACGAAGCGTGCCACGTCTTGGTACCCGGCATCGCGAGCTTCGTCGACCTCGTCGCACGGAGCTGGAGGCTCTCCCTAACTGACAGGGTCGGGCTGGCTGCCGTCAGGGACACTGGGCAAACTTATCGACGGGTCAGCAATGATTGAGACAGTAAAATTGAAGTATTGCGAACCTTTTGGGCATGCCTCTAGCGGTGCGCGACGGTCCACGATCGCCGCGTGACACATCGTCAGCGACCGTGCTATCACCGGACATAGTCTGACTGGAGGTGAATTTGTCGGACGAGGTCGGGCCTACGCGGTAGGAATGGCCTCGCCCAGTCTCCAGGCTCTCGAGCCGCTCCGATCTCTTCCCAGACACAGTCGACATCGTCGAACGTGGAATCTCAAGAAGCGGTCAAGTCAATTGAAGAGCTCTGTCTAACGTGTGGCAGGGAACAGGAAGTCAAAATCCAGAGAAGCAAAGGGACGACGTGGATAAAGCGAAGTATGGCGGAGCAAAGGGAACAGCCCAGACCTTTGTGAGGATAGGCAAAGTCAGTGGGAAGAAAGGCGGCATGACACGCTACCTGGGCTGTCTTAAATATAAAGAGCGACAAAGCAGAAGCCTCTCGCCTCGTACAGCTTCACGCCAAGGAGGCTGCGGGCGAAAGAATGCGAAGGAGACATGCCTAACGAACTACCGGGCCACGGCAGCGGACGGCGCACCCGAACGCAAGTGACGAAGGTTCCAAAGCCCCGAGCCTTATTTACGATCAGTGGCGACGGGTAGGCAGCGCAGTGGCTATAGAGGCATCCTATAGTCGAGCGCATTCAAAACATATAATGGCCCACGACGGGAGTGTACATCGAGCAGCATTTAAGGAGTCGTTCGACTCGACAGCGCCGACACTATAAGCTCAGCAAGTCGATGTCTCTATAGGAAACACCTGTGTCCGTGGGAGATAGCTGTATCCGGCGCGTATTGAGTCTTATGTGATCCTACAGCAGCTGCCATTCCGGCGAGATCTCACCTCACGACCATATTGAGAGCCGAAGGGTTCCTCCCCCTGTTAGTCACGACAACCTGCCAGTGAGCTGGAGTTCTCGCTGACGAGGAGACCCTCGAGGCTGCTTGTGGCATCGCCTTCCACGCCAATCTATAGTAGTGTTGACGTCTCGGGACAGACAGCTGGTATCTATCTTGTGCTTCGGTTCGGCAAGAGCAGTAGGCGTGATTATCACTATTCTGAACGTGCGGCCGATCTCGAAGTCGTCGTTCCGTTGTGTTTCGTCGTTGACGCGCACTTGTATTACAATAGGAAGAGGTCCTGGACGAGGCTCGAAGGTACCTCGGCCTCGAAAGCAATGTAATGTATCTTTACTAGTTGCAAAATAATGGCACTACTCTACCCCTTAAGCTATCTAGACATGTATATAAGAATGGACCGAGAGTAATACGCCTATCTCAGCTATCCTTAGGGCGCTCACTCTCCTTGTTCGCTAGCCGTCCATTACCGCCGACGTGGTCATCGTCGTCGAGTTAGACTCGACCGAACACGACAGTGCAACCCTCTACTTATCGCGCTTCGTTGTTGCGGGCGGTGCGTCGAGCATACCTCGATCGTCTGTCTGCTTTAAGGCAAGGCTCCCGCGTTAAGTTAAGGGTAGTGTGGTTCCAGCAGTCGAAGAAGTTCACTTGCGGCGTGTCTCCACGCGTGCCATCACGCTACCACTAAGATCTATAGCAGCTACAAGCAGCGCCATCGAGCTCAAAAATCCAGCTTCTAAGGTCTCCCATCAACTACGGCGCCCCACCAACACGGAAACTAATAAAAAGCGACGTAGGTGCGGCCGGCAAGCAATCTTCTAGCAAGCATTTATTTTAGCTCAATCATCGAGACTCGCCTAGAGGGACCTGGCCACGAGTAAGGGCTCGCGTCTATAGTGGCAAGGCAGTAGATAGTGTAGAGAACTTTTCCCCGACGGTCTCTTTGGGCTGGTGTATATACCTGACCTAGCTAGAGTACAATATAGTCCTGTCACTGCTGTAGTAATCCTCTTGCTCCTGAACTCTTACTCTTTTTCGGACGCCATTACCCGTGGCTGTAAGCTCTAGGCTCTAGACGCTGTACATATAAAGGCTATATACGCGGCTCCGTAGGATACAAGATGTGGTACTGGCCGACCATCCTATACGGATTCTCTCATTCATATACCTCACCTTGAGGTGGATCCCGCGGATCGTGAATTACTCTCTTGGACCGCCTAGCATCCTATAGCGTTGTCGTCACCGACAATGAGTCTCTAACATCAAGGGCAACACCTGAGACGATATAGTGGACGGCAACAAAAGCAACAGTGGACAAAAGCAACGGTAGATAAAAGCAACGGTAGACAAAAGCAACGGTGGACAAAAGCAACGGTGGACGACGATGGTCCCAAGCTGACCAAGAAACGCACGAGATTTACCGACGAGGACGAGGACGAGTTGACACGGTAAGTTACAAATGCAACCCGAGAGGGCGTATATATCACAGCGATGAAGATCGTGGTAAGCTGCCACCGACATTAGATACAGATGATCTTCTCTAACCTAAGTGCAGAACACTAGGCCTTCTCATCTACCTCGCACACCGCATGAAGTTCTTGACCGGGCTGTGGCGAGTCCCCTATTAAGACTGTCGTAAGCCTCATACACCGTTAGACGTGGCTGCCCCGTGATGCTGTGTTAAGTCATTCATTCTCAAGGTGTGCACTCGACTGGGAATACCGGTAATTCCGACAGGATAGCATGCCGCGCTCGAACCAGTGGAACATTCGAAGACGTCCACTTCCTTAACCCGTGGTGTCTCGAACTGACAAAGGGTTAGGGACAAGATGATTATAGTTAGAAGAGGCCCATCTCGTCGATTCACATTTAGTTCCGGTGGTTAGGCTCTCGGCCGTGGGAGGCTAGGGTGCCGTGATTAATTCGCAGATATCGCTCATAGTACAGTAGCTACGGCCGTTATAACAGTACACGCCTTCAACGATCGCAAACCTCACCATACTATAGCACGCACGGCCGCTATACTTATACAAGGTGGCAATCGTCGTCAACCCGTAAAGTAGCTACCTTATCAACGGAGACCGGTCCCAGACACCATTTAGTCTTAGTTAAGTCCCCAGCCCAATAGAACCCAAGGCAGCATCCCAATCCTCGGCCAACAGTGTCCCCCGATTCACCACCGCCAGGTACCCGAGCCTGAGTTCTGCGTACACGAAATCGAACGGATTCTCCCTCGCAATGTCTCGGAGGCGGCTCTCGGACATGATGGTACCTCGAGGGTGCTCAACGCGTTCTGGGCCATGATCGGACAGCCACTGGTGATAGGAGGGGACACGGCGCACGGTGGATCCTGTGTCGTCACCGTGAAATCGTCCAAGGTAGTCGTGGTAGGCAGACGAGCCCCTGATAAAGGCGTCGAGGCGCACCGTCGATGTAGCGTAACCCCAGCTGAGGATGGTGTACAGATAGGCGCAGAGCCCGACGAAGTGGCTGCGTGAGAGGTCGAAGCTTGGGAGCGCGCAGAACTCCTTATAGACCGCGTCTGTCACCGGTGGAGGCGCATTTACCGCGGTCCGGCGTGGCCGCTTCGCCTTGGGTGGAACGGTGTCGAGAATGTTTGCGCGACGCTTGTGAGAGTGCATAACGGCGGTGAACCGCTGTTTAAACAACGGCCAGGTCGGTGGTCGAAAAGTCGGTAAGTCGGTCAGTCGTCGTTAGATGGGTCAACGAGTACCGTATAGTTATGTGTAGCAAGCAGTGCCTCTTGGGGAGTTGCCTTTGTTTTTAAAGGGATCGAGGCAGTTGGGCACGATCGAGATTATATATAGTGGAAGACTCTTTTGTCGCGGAGGTATCCCATTTCACACCACACGCGGTATCTTATTTACACTATACGCGGTATCTCATTCACACCATGCGCGATATCTCATTCACACCATGCGCGATATCTCATTCACACTATGTGCGGTATCTCATTTCACACAATGCGCGGGTGGATCCGTCTCGGCCACCACTGTCGTGGCGCCGTCCTTGTTCGGTCCAGCGTGAGACAGAGTTCACCCATCAAACAAGATACCAGCGAACCTAGCGAAGAAAGCAAAGACAATGCCCCTCATCGGTCGATCAGAAACCGCGCATCGGCGCAGTGTGACCCAGTTCGAGACGTCCTCCTGCCGTTGCACTGCCTAATCTAGGGCCATCGTGAGCTAGTCGATCACCCACACCGGGCGGGTGGCAGCGAGGCTCGTCACCGACGAGAGCTTGGGACGAGAGGAAATGGTGCCTGCGCTTCTGCGGCAAAGGCGTCAGTCTGCATCCTATGGGAGCGAGCCTGGACGGGGCATGGTGAATATCATCCCGCCTCCGCCGTCTCTCCACCGTAGCTATCGCCGCATCCTCCTCGTCAGCGTGCCTACCGATCGCCGGCGGCCCAGATCCCCAATCGAGCGTAGCCCTGGTCGCGGTGTTAGTCACAGTAACATGCCCCGACGGAGGGAGATTGCCGCTTCACGGCGCGTTTGCAACGCAGATCTTAGGCAGTTGCAGAGGCCACGATTCCGAGGCAGGTGAACTTGTGTGGCCCTAGCGCAGAAATGGCGATAGCCCAGTCTCTCTTCGTCGTAGGTGCGTCCGTCACAACATCCGTGGCCGCCACCGTACACCAGCCTTCGCTGCCACACAGCGCGCAGACGTCGATCGCGGAGAGGAGCCCCAGGATGAGAGTTGCCAGGTGAAGGGTGGGCACGACGACGAGCCACACGGCACGTCTCACCTGGGCCGGCTGAAACGCGTTTCGGGAGCTGGCCTGCCAGGCGGCGAAGAAAGGGAAGAGGGCGATGGCGCCGATGACGGCGGTCCACCAGGGACTGGCCACGAGTCTGTTCCAGACGTTCTCACATATCCTGAGGGAGAGGCGGACCGCGAACTCGACCGCGTATCCACCGAGGGCGTCCATTTGCGCAGGCGACGAGGGAAGCAGCCACCTAGGCGAGCGCAAGAGTACTCCACTTGGAGGTCGTGCGCGTTCGGTGATCCTCTTTGGATTGATTGCTTGATTGAGTGGTGTAGCGGCACCTGTGGTTGTAGGAATCTATGGGATGGGCAGGTTACCCGAGGCCCGTAATAATAGGCACTCTCGGTACAACAGAGCGAAAGCAAATAATGACTTATAGAAGTTACTACTATTGAACTGGGTGAGGCTTCATTGCCAACAGGACGCCTCTCTATAGCCACAGGCACCGCCTCTCTCATATCAGCCACCCTACATCTCGAAGGAACGGTGCTATGTCTGTAGTTGAGGATTGTGTATTGTCTGTCGTGCCTGACTTCTCGAAAGCAAAAGACAAAACCAGAAGGAAAGGAGTGTAGCCTTACACTACTTCCACCACTTAGAACGCTAGATTACTTCCCTATATTGTACAGGGAAATGGCAGCTTTACTAAACTATAACCTTATCCGTCCCACTACACTAAATAATACTTTTATTTCATGTGTGACCGGCTTTAAACTAGTGTAATGGGGTTAAGAGGGGTCATGGTTTTGGCAAGGCTGCCACTTCTCTGGATAGTGTCCAGGACAGTAACCGAGCGTTCTGATTGACTGGTACTTTAATGTAAGGCTGCGCTTCTTTTCCTTTTGTCCTTGTTTTACTTTGGGGATAGTTTATATAGGGGGATATATAGGCAGTTAATACACTCTACTCAATTACAAGGCATCGTGTTACTCCTTTCAGATGTAGAGTGGTTGTGTGTGAGAGGCCCCGCCTGTGTCAGGGATAGGGTTCGCCAGCAGTTAATACTAAGTACATTGCCTATCTATAGGCGCTATGCGACTCGATTCGAAAGCTAAGGAGAGTCGAAGAGGAGACGCATGCGGCCGGCGCGCTATATATAGGTGACCCCTGAGGTCTTAGCGTGCCCCTGTTCATAACATTAGTGTACTTACGGAAGTCTAAGTATTACCTACAAACTTTAGATTTACCACAAACCTCTTAGTTAACTCCTTCCTTCTCTAAGGTAATCCCACGGTCGTGTTTAGCTGACTTGTATCCTGAAATGCATCACGGAGTGCTCGATACTCGGTCCATGAAACCTATCGGCACCAACGGCTGATGGAAATCATTTAGCAGTCGACGTCTGCATTCGATGTCCCCTAACCATAGTTTATCACGGCGCTGATGCTGTTCGTGGCTAGATACACCCCTCCTCGTCGGCCAGCATGTCTCTCAGTACCACGCTGTGTTGGTCCAGGGCGATGAGGATTTACATACCACGTGCCGCAAAGCGATACGTCGGCTCTAGCCCGTCAAAATCACCCCGTTACGCACTAAAGAGTCGACGGTGCTAGGTTTAAAACGCCGACGACCACCACAGTTCACGTGGCGCCGGCACGGTCTCAGCGCAGGTACAGACGATCTTTCTCAAAGACAATGTGGTTCCAGCGCGAACCCGGCGCCGGTTTCACCGAGACGAGACACGAGGCTCGTCCACTCCTGGGACGCCCTCACCTCGTCATGCTTTGTGTCGACCCGTCAGACATTGATGCGCCCTTGTGGCGTGTTCCACGCCGCCACCATACCAACTCGCCCGACGTGTCACCTTTAGTCTCGTCGCATCTCGCAGGGGAGCACCTTCAAGGTTGGCACGCTGGCCTTAGAACTCGAACTGTTAGTCACTTTATACGTCAAGTCTCAGGGCAGCGAGATAGACCCGTCACTCTAGACGCGTTGTGTCGAAGTGAATGACATCCTGCTGGCGCCCTCATAAGCAACACGCTTCGCCCCCTAACCTTAGTCTACCATCTACTCCGTACGTCTAAACATGGGCAAACCATTCTCCAGCCACCAGTCGACACCCGATCCCGAAGGCTGCGTGCCATCCGCGGCCTTGCTCCTCTCCCGTATACAGCGCTCACAGGACCCCCTCATATAGGCGCAGATCGACGTTATCGCGAGACACCTAGACACCCAGGACGCGGAGACCGTCCTCTGCAAGGGCACGCGGGACGAGTACGTCTCCGCCGAGCTCGGCGTCGGTGAGGAACGCGGCATGCCACTTCCACCTGGCGTGGGTGAGCACGCGGCACTCGAATAGTTCGACCCGAAGCTTCAAGAACAGGCCTTTCGCTTTGTTAAGTCGGACCACCGGATCGAACAAAGTCTGCGTCGCACCCACGCCTGGATCCGCATCGCCGGCGTGGGGCTTTCCTTCTTTCCCCATCAGCTCTACGGCGCCTTCTGGCTCCTCGTCTACGAACGAGGACCGCGGCGAGGGGCGATGCTGGCCGACAGCATGGGACTCGGTAAGGTGAGAAACCCGTGAACCTCGCGGAGTGGATCTTGGGACTGACGCCGCAGCGACAGACCACCACGGCGTACCTGTACATCCTCCTCAACCATCTCCTAGCCGACAATCTGAACCACATCCGTCGACATCCCCTGATGCACTGCCAGCCCTCCACCGTCGACCGTCCGCAAGCACACGACGCGCGCTGCCCCATTTCACACTTCTTCGGCATCGAGTGCGCCTGCCAGGAGTCGTCGGTGGCCTTCCAGCTCGGCCTGACGGCACGGAATGGCGCGTCGCTGATATTCGTCCCCGCGGGACTCGTCGGGCTCTGGGAGTCGGAATTTGGCAAGCTGGGTCTGGCGCGACACCTGGGCCTCCGCCTCTACATCCAGCACCGCAACTTCACGTCTCGGAGAATCCCCCACTCGTAGGTCCACCTCTTGCACGCCCCCGGGGCCGCGGACGAGGATGTCTCCGCCAACGCCTTCATCGTCCTCACCAGTGTCGAGTCCTACCACGAGTGGGTGCGTCAGTACTGCGGCCACGGCCGACGAGGGCGTGGTCGCGGGGAGTCTGGCGCCACAGGACACCGCGGTGTCGTGAGGTGGGCGCGGGTCCTGCGTGACGAGGCCCACCTAACCCCCAACCTCGACACCAGGCTCTACCGGATCCTCGAGGCCCTCGTGCACGACGTCAAGGAACCGCCCAACTTCGTGGCGTTGACGGGGACGCCCATGCTCAGGAACGGCGTGAGAGACATGGTGGCGTTGGTCCACGTCATTAACCAGGTCTCCCCCGCGCTCAGAGGCCACCCCGACTTCACGGACTTTTCGCAGCTCTCCCAGTTACAACGGATCGCAGACGACTTCCTCCACAGCCAGACAGGCCCGCGTGGCGGTTCAGACCTCGTCGTGGCCACGGTCCACCGCCTCCTCGGGGCGTACTGCATCCGCCGCCACGCACAGTCGTTCCAGAACGGTAAGACGCTCGCGCACATTCCTCCGCTCGTCTGCTACGAGGTCTCCTGCCCCCTCCCTGCGGGCGACGGCGCGCAGTATGTTCGTGACGCGGAGTCCATGCTGAAGAAGAGGTTGTCGAAGACGCTCCGGTCGCAACTCGACCGTTGGCAGACCGAAGGGGGGTCCACGGCCGACTTTCGAGTCGACCTGGGTCTGTTGCTGGAGAACGTGCGTATAGCGCGGCTCCTAGCGTCCTTCCCCGCCTTAGCCCGGTACGGGCCTCGATGTAATCTGACCTGGAACGGGATTAAAAGCAACGGTTAGCACCTGAGGTGTTAGTCGAGCCCGTTTTATCGTGCTCTCCCGGGCTTAGAAGCCAGCAGCGGTAAGTTACAGGCGCTGCGACGGTTCATCGACCTGTGGAGGCCGACTCGGAGCTACGACGGTCTGGCTGAGGGCCTCGTCGTCATTAGCGAGTTCACGATGGTGTGTCACGTCGTCGACTGCGTAGGTGCCCGCCCCGCGTGTCGTGGTGAGGTTTTCATTTCGCTGACTGCCGGTGTAGTTTCTGACGGCGATGGGCGTGCCGTGCGTCTGGCTGCACGTCGACACCGGCAAGCAGCGACAGGAGCTGGTCGACGCCTTCCAGTCGCCCCTAGCCCATCCCCACGTTCCACCATTCCGCGTCATCATCGGCACGTCCCAGATCATCGGGCAGGGCCTCACCCTCACGCGATCTCACCGCACTATCCTGATGGAGCCCAGCCGTCACGCCGCCGTGGAGGCACAGAACGCGGACCGGACCCATCGACTGGGGAGCCAGACCGACAAGTGTCGCTTCTACCGCTTCGTCAACCCCGCTTCGGGCATCGAACGGTTTCTCGTGGAGTCGCAGGAGAGGCAACGGGACCTACATCACGGCATCGAATGGCTGGCGGCGGTATCGCGTCTTCCCTCAGACGGAGGTAACGAGGAACTCGAGCTGAAAGACGGATGACATGCAGCGTAAGCAGGCCGTCGCCGCTGATGCCACTGCTCGAGAGGGGAACGCGGATCGGGTATGGACGGGAAGGTGGCAGTGGTTAGTGCGCAGCTCACTAGCGAGGACGGTGGTCAGTTCACAGGTTACTCCTCTAAACGCGTCGTCCGCAATGTACTCGGTCTTTCCATGAAGTCGTCAACCGAAACTTGGCGTCAACCTAATGCAAAGGATGGGCGGCACTGCTTTCTGCTTGCGGGGAGTTAGCGACCTCTTTAAGTAATGCTCTTAGTGATTCAGAGCATCCTAGGTATGTAGTTGCATTGGCTTTGTAGAGCGGCGGGGCACCACCTAGCGTGTGTACAGGCAGATGCGAACAAGTAGAACGCCAATAAATGGAATGCCAATAAATGGAATGCTAATAAGTGAAATACTAATAAGTAAAATACTAATAAGTAGAATACTATTCAGTAAAAAGGTTATAATGTAATGGGGCTAATGAGGTTGTAGTTAGCAAGGCTACCGTTCCTCGAACAATATTTTGCGAAGCAACGGAGCGGTCTGATCGGCGGAGGTTAGCGTAAGGCTGTGCTCCTTTCCTTTTTGTCTGGTCTTTGCTTTCGATAATTTATAGAGAGGATATATACGGACGACAGTTAATACACTCTACTCAACTACAGGCATCGTGTTACTCCCTCGGATGTAGGGTGTTTTGAGTGTGAGAAGGGTAGAGCATACCGCCGCAGAGAGGCAACCCCGATGGCAATGAAGCCTCACTCCAGTTCAATGCTAATAAGTAAAATACTATTAAGTCGAATGCCAATAAGTCGAATGCTAATAGGACAAATACCAACAAGTGGAATGCCAATAAGTAGGATGCCAATAGGACAAATACCAATAAGTGAAATGGTGAGGTTAGACGATGATCTTAATGACTGCAAAGGCTGTAAACGCCTCGGTTGTCTAACCGAATTACCATTGAAGAGAAGAGAGAGTGAGGGAGAGAGTGACTGAATTGCTATCGAAGAGAAGAGAGAGCTCACACACGCGCGCGCGAGAGATAGAAGCAGTAGAAGGTGCCTCCCACCTTCTAATGCGCTATTATACCTAGTGGTTTATGCAACGGCGTGTCTCATCAGATGACTTCAAGGATCGACTGTGGCAACACTACGCTTTGTATACTTTCGCTTCGCGCGACGACGCATTTCCCTCTCCGTGTCATGTGTCGTGTTCTATGCGTCATGTTTCCTCCTCGGTGTAGGAGGTCTGCGTGTCATGTTGAAATTGCCAATCATCATGTCCCCGTGCTTGTTGCTATATCGGAACACTAAATATGAATATCCCGCGAGCGCTGCCGGTCGTAGAATGTCCGCCTCTGTCGCTCCTTGGACAGCTGCGTGCTGTGAGGTAGATAGCCCCAGACACGGACCGCGACGACCACGTGCGAATCCTCTGGACTTACTTCGGCCCTTAAATCCCTCGAGGCGCGCGAGCAAGAGCTTCGTACACGCTGTTGCCTTGCACCAGCGGTACGACCGCGTGCACCGTCCAGACCCACGAATGCAACTCGATCGCCGTGGCGGTGGTAAGACCGCGGTCATTCCGAAAGAGGGTGTTGCCGAGTCCAGACTCGGTCGGTGAATGCCCGCAGTGTCGCATCCAGGATCAATGCGACGGCTCGAAGGCGAGAGTGTTTCTTCGCAGGATGCCCTCCTAGGTCGTTTCGAGACCTCGACCCTCTCCTGCGCAGATCCAAAGTCGGTGTCCGTCTCCGCCGGCGACGACGGGCGTAGGTGAGCGCGTCTACGTGTCGAGCGTCCTCACGAGCAACTCACACAGTCGATGCAAGATGGGAGCAAGAGTGAATATGATCTTCGCCCACACGGTGAGGCGCTGGACACCGTCTCGCCACGCGCGGTACTCCTCCGGCTCGAGCTCCTACAACTTTTGATCTCCATACCCGGCGAGTGCCTGCTTCGACAGCCAGACAAACGCCCACACGGTGACGAATCGGAGAGGGAGGACGAGGACGAGGCGCCACGGGTGTGCGGCGAGGGAAAACGGTGCGGCCATCCCGGCGTGCTCAAGGGCCTGGAGGAGCTACTTATGTCTGGTTAGCCAAGGAGCGTCGACGGCGAGTCGCACCGTGGGGTCCTGAACGCACGCCGTACGGTTCGCCCCCAAGCATCCGACCGCCGCGCGAGTCGGTGCACAGCAGAGCTGCATTCGCTTCATCACTGAGGTAGTACCAAGCTTCCAGGCGACGCCTCAAGGTTCCCTCGTCGCCACTGGCGTTCAATCTTCGACGTGCGCATTACCACGTCAAGGATTGGCGATCGAGGCTCTCGAGCCCGTCGAGGAGTTGTGGGGAAGGTTTCTAGAGTCCGTCGCACTGCTCGACGTCCGCTATAGCCCTCGCAGCGGCGGGTTGAAGGGCGCGGTTATGCGAGTTAGTGGACTGGCGGCGGTAAGGAAGGCCCCAACGGCTGGATGTTGCAAAAGCCGAATGTACATTTTCATGCCGGCACCCGGGGTTGGAATGGCTGACGACTAGCCGACGAGCCTTTAGTCTCGACGGTTAAAGCACTTGGGCGGGCGTTAGGGCCGTAACGGGGGCTCCTAGGCTGAGCTAGCGGAGACTAACTAAGATCTTTAACCCGCGTGGACGACGCCTGCTACGGCTTAGCGACGGTTAATTTGCCAGCATCTAGATTCTTCGGACGATGTACACGTGCCACGGTCAGGCGTGGGCATTGACGTTGGACCTCTCCTCTCTCCCGTCGGACGCAGAATCACCGTCGAGATCACCCTCATCATCCCCCTCACTGTTTACGTCGTCGACGCCGTCCTCCTCCTCCTGGTCGGCTCCACTGCTCCTCCATCCCTTCGCGTTGAGGTGAGCCGGCAGTCGCCGTGTTACGGAACTGCACAGGACCTCCCTCATCTCTCGCGCTAGGGTCTTGATCCGGGGGTGTTCGTTCAACAGCTAGTGAAGGCCGATGCTATCGAGGTGATCCATGGCGGCCTGAAAATTCGGGCCCCTGGTGTGCATGCGGCTCCCGGTGACGCTGCAAAACTCCTAGGTCAGCCCACGGACGCCGTCGAGGCCTCGCGGAAACCAAGGTAGGGACTCACAAAGCATGGCTGAGTTGGGGGAGGAGGATCCAGATGCTGCCTTCGCCGAATATTTGACAGATGGCCTGCAGGCGCACGCCGTACCGACACCAGCTCGCGATGTTAGCGACGATGCTTCGCACCTGGTCCTCATCGGGCTCTAGGGTACTGACGAAGGACTTGATGTCTGCCCTAGCCTTGCGACCCAGGCGACGCCCCGAGATGTCTGGTCGGATGACCTTGACGATGTCGAACCACATAAGCCAGATGAACCGCTGGCGCAGTTGCCAGAGGTCCGACTCGTCGTTGGCCTGCAGCGTGTAGTCGATCCGCCTCTAGAAACCCCGGACCACGTCGTCGTTCTTCAGGTCGGCGATCAGCTGAGTCGCGGTCGCGGCGTCCACCACCCTCGGACTCAGCAGGATCTCGGCCGCGGACCTGTCGGTGGACTTGTGCGCGTCGATGTACTGCAGGAAATCCTCCGCCTAGGAGACGTGCAACTGGGTCAAGTTCATAATGCGATACCACGCCTTGTAGGTGTTGCTGGTCACGGCCTCCTCTTCTGGTCCCGCAGCTCGCTCGCCGTGGCTCCATGGTCCGCCGCCGCGCCGCCCCCTCGCCGGGTTGAGGTGTTGATGGAGGCGCTTCAGGTTCTTCTTCGCCTGCTCCGAGAACATGGTGGCGTCCTGGTCGAGGATCTGGTCCACGGCCTGGCACGGTCAGAGTCAAAGCGCGGGTCGGTGTCGTCCAGAGGCAGGTCTACTCACCGGGCCGTGGTTGAGGAAGCGGTGGAAGAGTCTCACCCAGTCCTGTTCGACTGGGGCAGGCAGATCTGACGCCATGCTGGCCGTGAGAAGGAGCAGTTGCACCGTTCGTGCGTTCGAGGGTCACCTCTCGTGGTGGCGCTCCGTCTTAAGCCTCCACGACAAGATGGAGGTAGAATAGCTAGATGAGAAGTAAACGGCAGATGAGAAGTAGACGGCAGATAAGAAGTAGACGGTAGATCAGAAGTAGACGGTAGATGAGAAGTAGACAGTAAATAAGAAGTAAACAAATAGATGAGAAGCAAACGGGCATTTAAGAAGCAGATGGCCAAATATGAAGTGTACCCGCAGATGAGAAGCATACCCACAGATGAGAAACCAACGGCGAGATCTAGGGCCTGAGACCTTCTCCACCCGCCACCGGAGCGTGTCTAGCGAGAGACAAAGAAACTTGACCACGGGACGGGACAAGACGGACCACACCCCTACAGGTGTGCGTCCAACAAGCAGCGAGACCAAGCAGCTCCGGCGTCGTCCACACCGCGACGAACAGGCCAAGGCGACGAGGACCGTGTACACGGGGGACCTCCCAGTGCATAAAACCACTCCGTCGCCTCTCCCTGCCACTCTTCCTCCGTTCTTACCGTCACCCTACCAGCTCTGCATCTTCGACACCACCATCCAGCCAGTAGTACTTTCTCGCCAACACGCCGTCCAACTCTCAACTACGATGGAGCATGTTCCAGTGATTTCCACAGCGGCCCTAGCCGAGCGCTGAGTGATCCTGCGGGACTTGACCGTAAGTATCACTACCGGTGGTCCCCTTAGCAGCATACTGGCCACACACGGCCTGTCGGATAGCGCGCGCACTGACATTGTGAGTAGAGGGAGGCCTGGACGCACAGCTTGGTCCTGGGGCAAGTCGTCGGCACCCAGGCTGTCACCTACTACATCACCCTCGCCCAGGTCCTGGTCCTATGGCTGGAAGACAACGTCGGATTCAATGCTCTAGCGTTGCTGGCCCCGGTCATCTTCGTGATCTTAGTGCTGAACATAGTGTGGACGCTTAGACACCTGAAGGACGTCGGTGGCATGCAGAAGGGCCCCGCGTAAGCTTCCTCACGTTTCTGGCACGTGGTTCGACCGCTCACGGCGGAGACAGAGGCAGGCAGACAGCCACGGGGCGGCGGGCCAGGACGACACACGGGGAGAGGGCGGCCGAGTAGGATACATCGATTCGTGGTTTGGGGTGCGGGTGCGAGGTGGGCGAGCCAAACGGACGGGACACAATCCCAATGGGCAGAATATAGTTCACGACTCGACGAGCAGGGCGGCCACGGCAGGATGAGGCCCAGAACCGTTCATTCGAGGGCGGATACAGGCGTTGACATGGGGGTTAGCTGGAGACCGAACGACGTTCAACTTTAACGGCGGTCTCCGAAAAGTTTTGTGCGGCCTATCGTTCTCCGCTGCCGGTGCTCCGTGTCCTGCTTAGGTTCGTCGCTCAGATGTAAAAAGCTGCTCGCCTGAGCTGCGACGCCAAGGGGAAATGCTCGCGAGCACCGGCGGCGTCCAGAAGCGGTCTAATTGGTGGATGGTGCCACCCTAGATTGGTGAGCCGACCGTGGCATCGTCCTTTGGTCGTAGAACACGTCACTGCCATGAACTCTCGATGATTTGTCCCTATAGTACCAGATTTACCCCAGCCGTACGTCTCCAGCGAGGTTAAGTCTGTATTCTTCTTGCCCGCCCTCGCGAATCTCGCACCTCTCCGCCCCCCTCTATTCCGCCTTCCCCCTTTTGACTACAGTTTCTTTAGCGCTGTTGGCGTAATGAGTGTGGCCCCCCTTTCTCCCTTTAGCTTGTTCTTGTTCTTGTTCCGAATCCAATCTCGCAGACGATGCTCATCTCTAAGCAACTCGACAGCGGCGGTAAGCACACCATGGCGGCGAAGCCAGCCTAAACTAGGGCGTCCGCAAGTTTCGAGGCCGATCAGGGTAAAAGCGAACCGAATTATAGACTGAAAAGTATCCGATAGACTAAAGCTTCAGGGGTTTACCGTCGAAAGGCTTGAGACAGCGTTGAGACTGAGGTTCGCAGGCATCTGTTCGTAACCGATAACGGCTACACAGGCACTCTTCGTTCCAGATCACAGACCAGATAAATGTTCACCCGAATTAAAAGGGTGATAAGCTTTCTATGTAACCAGGCTATTCACTAACGCTGGCGTAATAGGTATAGGGGTATAAGAGATGTAAAGGTATAGTAAAGGTGAAGTTAGGGTAAGGTGAGTAATAAAGGCAGTAATAAGCTGTAGTCGCTATGGCCTAACGGCGCACTCCTAAGTATATCGTCAGCAGTTGTCCGGCTGAGATTGAGACGAGTCGCCCTCCCTTTTCGATGGCCAGTCGAGGTTAGCTCGTCTTCTCCTCTCTCTAGGGAGTCTAGCATTCGCGATCAACCTTATGAGTGGCATGACGCGCTTCCACGACACGCCAGAAGATCCCGTCATTGGAAACACGCCCCGTGTTCCATCCTGACCGATGTCTCCTGCGTAAGTCCTTCTCGTACACACGCGACCGTGGCGGCTTCAGCTCCCGCCTAGCTTGTCCAGGTTGGGGCACGGGACTAGCGGCGTAGAATGTGCTGCTTGTGTTGTCGCGCTGTCTAGAGTGGACCCTGTATCCGCGGTTTCATCAATCCGCAGGCGCTGAGTTTTGATTTTCTGTAAGGTGGCCGCTGCGACAAGGGTTGCGCATCGATCGATGAGGTAGAGCAGTTAGTCGCCAGGAGAATCGGCATCCTGGCTAGCTGAGCGGATCTGCGCACTTGACGGGCCACGCCAACAGAGACAGCTCACTTCGGCTTGTGCGTGTATACACCGGCAGACCATAGAGTTGTAGGTCAGATCTCCTTCCACAGCTGGAAGTTTGTGTGTGCTCTTGTGGTGTAAAGCAAGTATTTGCTGGAGAGACGGTTCCAGCTGACGGAGGCATCGTGCCACGTTGCTTGATGTGCTGCCTTCCCCTTCACCTGCTGGATGGGTTTGTCCGCCGGTAGCTGCGACAATGAAGGGGTGTTGGCAAGAGTGTAGTGAGTACGGGCACGCAGTGTAGATAGGTCAGCTCTCGCCGAGTCGCCAACCTCGTGGTTGCCGCGTCACGGAGGTCTACGCCGGGTCCCTGATGGAGATGCGTTACGGATTGTGGCCTGGGCTTGGGGGTGTCTCTGTTCTACATTCGTTCTGACGACCGTCCAGCATTCGTCAACGACCGTCTCCTGTCCTGCATCGAGGGTGAAGGCGGTTCGGACCTTTGTGATGAGAGGTGATGCACCAGGAGGAGTTAGCTGGTTGACGAGCACCAACAACGCCGGCGAGACGGTAGCCGTGAGCATGTCACGTATTCAGCAACGACGGTTTATATATACGCGACATCGGTAGACGTAAAGAGGAGAGATCGACGGCTGAGTTCGACGGCGTTGTATAGGTGATGCATGAGTACAGCAGCGGCTATATTCTACCAGGATCTGCGTCTGTGTCGTTGATATAGGATGTCGGTCGACACTGGACAATCTAACGGGGACACTTTAAAACCCCCAGAAAAGAACTTTCAGCGGCTCCTTCCTATGGCAACCGCGCTCTCAGGTTACCATCGTCAATACTTAGGGTCTCTTAGTCTTGAGGCAGAGGTCTCACCCGGGTAGCTGCGTCCTTAATTACTTAGCCATCACCCGACCTTACTTCTGCTCTTCTGCTCTTCTACCCTTCTACTCTCTACTCTTCTACTCTTCTTCCCTTTTGCTCTCCTGCTCTCTGCTCTTCTACCCCTATCGTTACACGGCGCTCGAAGGTACAATGGGTTCTAGAGACGAGGTAAGGTTCCGCTACCACCGCGCTCTACTAATACTTACTCCTTTCTAGATGGACGAGAAGCTACATGCGCTGAGAAACCTCGGCGTAAATGTGGACAAGGACGACGGCAGGGTGTTTGACCGCTCCGGCGCACTCGCCTCGCGCGAGGCGCGGCAAAGAACCACCACGACGGGTAAAGCAGAAACCAGGTCAAAGGGCAAGAAAGAGCGCACGAAATTCAGCTCGGACGAGCTAGATGGACTCCAACAGCTGCACGCGGCGGCCGAGAAGCAGAATCTATGGGCGGACCGTGCATTAGAGGCGCTTGCGAGTATGGTCCGTCGGTCCACATCTAGATCAGCACGCGACGGATATAAGAGCTGACTACCGCGTCCGTCAGGATCCCACCCACAGCCGAGCGTCCTACATCGCGAGATGGTAGCGAACCAAGAAAGAAGGGACAAACGTGGACCTCGACTTCGACCACCCCTTCCTAGGCCTCACGAACGAGTCGACTGCCAACCTCGACCCTACCGATGAGGGTGCGCACGAGTCCGCCATCGCACATAGTGGAACACATACAGGACACCAGGATTTAGCCGAAGACCCAGTACCGACGACCGCTACGCCGCCCTCTGCACCGTCTGTGACCCCATCGGCAGACCCTTCCGGTGAAGCTGGCGCCCACGTAGGGATGGAACGGACCCCATAGCCAGGCGCAGGCGGTTCGGTCTTCTGCCTCCCTGTTGTGGTCTTCGCGTCCGGAAGATCGCAGTGTACGAGAGAAGCAGTAGCAGTAAAGCAACGCGGGTCCCTCCTTCCAGGCGTCATCTGCTCCGGGTATAGATCCATCTCCTCTCCTCGTGTTAGAAAATATCGTCTGTAAGCGATGGTGACGATGGTTCGCACAATGGTAGATTAATGACGGAGCTATCAAGCTATGAGCGCACGTCATAAGAAGCCCTTCCCAAGCGTTGCTCCCCTCCGTAACATGGTTATGACGCGTCGTGCCTAACTATTCGTGCTTCCACATCTTAGTAAAGGCGCCTGCCGTGCGGTTGTGTTCCAAGATACTATCCTACCCTAGAGTTTCGTCCAGGCCGAAGCACGCACCACAACAGACCTTCCCCTTATGCTGGCGTCCGAATAGTCGTACGCACCAATTCTCCTTCTCCTTCTACTGGCGACCGAGATACCTCCATGTGGCGACGCTTCACCTGAGCGACTTCCGCCGCTGGACTTGTTGGAGCTCGTGCACTCTGCCGAGTGCCTGCCGCGTCGCCGCCACGCTCGCCTCCCCTCGTGAACAATACAGCATGTAGACCACCTTTGGAGACGGCCGCGCCTTAAGACACTGCTCCCAGGATCGGATGGACTAAAGGTCTGCAGTTAGCATCGGGCCAGTAGTTCGTGCGGCTCACCGACCTTTGCGTCTTGGGCGACCACTTGGCCAGCCGCGAAGGCGCGCAGCTGCCGGAGGATGGCGTGGCGGCTCGCGTGGATGAATGCGCTCTCTAGATCGCCCCGGTGGCGTACGTCCTCTTCCATGCCGAGCTCGCTACCGGCCAGGTCCACCATCATAATGCTCGCATCGCGGGAACGGACGCCATCGCCGGGAAGATGGATGCTCAAGACGAGATGGGAACGCGACGATTCGTCGTTCAGCGACGTCGTGGCCACTTTTCGGTGGCGCAGCGCACGCGGAAGGAAACTGTCCCCCACCTCCCACTCGTCGAAGCCCGTCTTCGCCTTGAGCGCGTACCACGTCTCCCCGAAGGTCCTCGCGTCCGTCGGGGTCCACGGGTCAAGGCTGTATTCTGGCCCCGAGGAGTGGCGTCGAAGACGATCGTGCGGCATTGCTCTGAGTGGGCCAGACGCTTCGGCGTGCCATTCGGTGAGGGCAATACGGAGGTCGCCAGGCCTCCCTGCCGTCTTCATGGCGGCGAGGGCCAGGCCGATCGCGCAGCGTGCGACGGACCGTCGCCCCTTGAACGTGCCGTGTGTCTTGCCGGTCCCGCTCTCCCCGTCGGCGACAAAGCAGATCTGGGACCCGTGGCGGACGTGGGCTGCGAGGAGGCCGTACGCGAAGTACGCGCAGTGAGTCTCTCCCTCGGCTTCGTCGGCGCCGGTGAGATAGTCGAAGCGGTGGGAGGGCGCCTCCGACAGGTCGAGCCTTCTCGTGGCGGAGCGCATCATCTCGTTCATCGCATCGGGGAAGGGATCGCTAGGGGGCCGAGACCGCATCTCGATCCCGCGGACGCGCCCCACCAATAGGATAGACCGGTGAGAGTGGTAGAGGTTGGCGACGAGCCCTTAAAGTGTCTACGTTAGGACCGCCTGCTGCTGCTGGAGGCGCCCGTTAGCCGTCGCCAGCGCGTTGATTACCTCACCCTTCTTAACGGCGATGATGCGCCAGCAGATGTAAAGCAATCTATAGCGGGCTGCCAGCGCACCCTAACGGCGCGCGCGCGCCTCGGCCTCCTCTACCTATCGTTCCTCGACGCGGAGGGAGGTCTCCAGCGTATCAGGTCGAGCTCGTTCGTCGAGTGGCAATTGTGAGAGATGCTCGAGGCGGCTTCGAGTGTCTCGCTTCGGAACCTGGTCGTGCTGATAATCGGCTGCCACCGCTCGTCGTGCGTGCGACGCGCCATCTTGCCACGATGCGAATGGGACTGTGGCCCGTCTGCTTCGCTGAACGGGTCCAGGCCCGAGACCGAGCGCTCCTCGTCTCCCGTGGCCGACGGCAGGTCCCGTCTGCGGCGGCCGTGGCTGGTCGTCAGGACGTTGTCGGGTCAAGTGTGCGAAGTCCTCCACCTCCCGCTCCATCCGTTCGCACCGTCGCGTCACTTCTAGGGTTTTTTGCACCAGCATGTGATGCCTGCGCTGGAGATCTTGGTACGCGTCGTCACGCGAGAGGAGCTCGCACTGCTGTCGCTGCGCGGCCTCGCTGGACGTCTGCTCGAGACGGTCCTTGGCAGCGTGGAGCTCAGCGTGCGCGGACCGTGCCTCGAGAAGCTCCTGCCGCAGTGTGGGCACGGACGGGTGTCCGTGATTCACTGGGCCCCGACCCTAGAGGCGGAGGACGATCGAGATGGGAATGACGATACCGAGCGGCCCGAGGAGGAGAGACATAACGCTTCGGTGTACGAGCCAGGTGTCCGTGAGGTGGAGGGTCCACGGATGGCTGGACGATTCTCGCTGGAGTAGAAGTAATTAATCGAGGAGGAAGAACACCGACCGGGCGAAGACGTATCTCGTCAAATACTCCCCAGCTGTCATCTGTAACGTCGTGCGGAGAGGTTGGAGGAGAGATGTCGCCTACGCCATCGAGATGGATACCGACGGGCGCTCAGTTGGTGGTGTAGAGGACGTCGTGTCGAGAGCCATACCACCCGGCTAGCTGCGCGTCGAGGCTGAGGGACAACGATCGCGTCCTCGAGGAGGTCGGTCGATAGAGTGTTGCCGTGGCGGGAGATGCGCCCTAATGAAGCTGGTATATGTGCGCGATCTGTCCTCCGTCGCGGGCTTTGTGCTGGCTCCTCCAGGGGGGCACCCCGATCCCGAGACCTGTCTCGGTCTGGGGGTCGAGCGCGTCGGCTCACGGACGGGCGGCGTCATCGTCTAGTGCTGTAGTAGTACGGCGTACAAAAATATAGAGATGCCTCTGCGATGTCCCGAGGACGAGTGCCTGTAAACCAGTAGCCTGGAGCTGGAGTGAGAGGAAAGGATTGCGGTATCTTGACGAGGGATGGAAATAGATCTAGCTGTCCCAAGCTGAGGTGGCTACGACTAGAGGTATCTTTGAGGTGATGGCTAAGCTAAGCGCGAGGGTGATGTGACCTTTAAGTTGCTGCGATGGACCACCATCCGCCACCAGAGTCCACCAGTTAAAAGGCCATCCGTGCCAGCGCAGAGTTGTCCATGTGTTCGCAACGGTTCCGATTGGTCCTGATGCCCCTAAGCGAGCGAGTGTAGGCGAGGGTCGTGGGACGGCTGCGGTCAAGGTCCTTGAGAATATTCTACTTGTGCTACCCATCTTTTACACATTACCTAGTAGCCGGTAGAGAAGTACCGAGAGTACCGAGACCATGGACTTAGACACTTGGGCAGTGAGCCCGCACTGCTCCTTTGTCCTGGCTAAGTCGCGGGCAATCTCCAGTGATCGAGATAGCCGAGACATAGGCCGTGGGAGCCTGGACAGCACTCCTTTAAGGGCCTCCTCAGCACTCTTCAAGGGCCTCCTCAGCACACTTTAAGGGCCTCCTCAGCACCCTTCAATAAACTCCCATCTTACTTCTACGACACTGTCCCGTCGATCAGCGTCTCTTCCCGCTAGCCATCCAAATATACAGAGCTCGACAGGATGGGCTCTCGCGGTCGATCGCTCCCCAAGATTAGACCCTACAACCTGACTGCTGTGCCCGATATAGCGGAGAGAGTTGTCGTTCTACGCGCTTAGAGACCGGTCCTGGCTGGGGTCGCCACCTTCGATGCCTCCACCTTGGCTCTCCGGGACACGCCGCGGTTTGTTGTGCATCCTCTTTGGCCGACCGCAAATATCGCCGAGTCGACCGTTTCGCTTCCCCTCCGCCTAAAACCAGCAGAGCCGAGTTCGCTGGTCCGACACTCCTTCACCGCCTTCCGTCTGGGCCACTACGCTCGACGGTCCCGATGGCCGCTCTTCTGCAGCTCGGCGAGCTACGGCGCCAGCCTCATCGTCTACATCGCGTTCTACCTCCTCCTCCTCTACCTGCCTCTCGGGGGCTTGGCTGCACCGAGCGTCCGCACCGTCCTGAACGGCGCCGAGTCCGAGTTGTCCCTCCAACTAATCCCCTTCTCCCAGTCTCTCCGGCTGGCCGCGAGCCATCTGGCCGGCTGGCCGGAGTTGGACGGGGAGCATAGACGCGTCCAAGGCTTGCGTAACCGTGTCGACGCCTACCAGGGGCAACAGCGGGACCTGGTGAACCGCTACCGCCAGCTTTACACCGCCACGGTCCCGAAGGCCCGGAGTGCTGGCGCCTGCAACCGTTTGATCCATGAGCTCTTGCACATCAACCGCACGACCAGCCTCCTGGTCTCCCAGCATACGAGCCTGAACATAACGCTCAAGGGCGTCGTCGACAGTTTTCGCGTGCGATCGAACGCTGCCTACGGTGGCAACAAGGCCTGGTACGAAGCCATCTACGCGGCCTACGTCAGTATCCGGAGCACGAGAGCCACCTTCAACGCGGAGACGTATAGCACCTCCCAGCAGGTCGTGCTGGGCATCGTCGAGCAGCTCGAGATGCAGTGCTTCCTCGTACGGCCCCAGTCCTTTGTGGCCTGGAGTCCGGAACAGATGCGGAACAGGCACGTCGTCGACCAGCTGTTGCCCCGATTAGACGACAGTGTCCGGCGACTCCTGGGACGGCCGTGACACGGCACCGTCGTACGCGCCCATCTCCCGGTCGCCGTCGTCAGTCTTTAGTTGTGAGATGGGGTAATGTAGAGGTATCTCTTGTCGCCGGAAGATCACTTACGGCCCCCCTAAATCTGCCTGGATCGTGTATACTTTTCAATAGAAATGCTATAGCCCTCGTTTTGGCCTCGGCGTACATGGCCACCGCGGCGTCGCCCAGGTATCGTGGTACTTCTCTGCACCAACCCTCCTCAGTCGGGAGGAGCATGATGCGATTTGAGGAGGTGCGGACCGACGCTTCGCCAATCGGAGGTACTACACACGGGTTATTATAACGATGCTCGGATCGTCCCAGGTAGGGCCTACCACTACCTCATTAAGAATACACTTGCCGAGGTCTATAAGACCGATACACGACCATAAGGCGTCGACGCCAGCACGTCGTCGACGTCAGATTGTGACCGAACTGTGGGCGCGCACCGTGTCCTTGAGCAACCGCCGGCCGGTCCTCGCCAGCGCGATACGTCCAATCTCCTTGGGCCTGACGTGATAGCCTATACTCGAGCTCTTGTTCCACTCCCAGTTCGTTCGTCCACGGTTCGCTGACCAGGTCGCAAGATCTCGCCGGCGTGCTTCGGTGGCCTTGAAAACGGCCATCGAGTAACGCGGTACTACTTAACGCTTACCTAACTTTACATCATTATAAGCTAATAGGTTTTAGGGGCCCGACCAGTTATCTAGTACCTCGACCCTCGGCTGTCCGAGAGTCTAGAACATATCAAGAGGTCGTAATATAAGAGTATTCGGTACATAAGCTCGCCGGTAGTCAGACCAACTATCAGATACTAAAAATACAGTCTACATGTACCGCTCGGTAATATTACCCGGATTTGCGCTGTATTGCTAATGACTGTATTGTAGGGCCGAAGCATATCTCTACAACTCTTACTCTTACTTATAGACATATCTCTACAACTCTCACTCTTACTTATAGACACATCTCTACAACTCTCACTCTTACTTATAGACACATCTCTATAACTCTTACTCTTACTTATAGACACATCTCTATAACTCTCACTCTTACTTGTAGACAAACCGTGACTAGAAGTACAACCTCGTTCTGTCCCTCGCCCTCAAAGTCCCCATCTTATTTCAACTCATTTTCAGTAGTATACCATTCATATTCATCTCATCGATGGACCATACATATACTTCACGGGCGACGATCTCGAATGCCTTTACCTAAGGAGTCTCTGATCTACGGCGCCGTGCCAGCAGCCGCTTTAACATAGCAACCTAATTCTACATCCTCGTTGGAGCCGTCTCCAGCTCGCCCATTCACGATGCGCATGGTATTCTCGCCGTACCTTCGAGTTTTCCCAGCGGTAGGTGGTTTGACCAGTGGTAGGAGAAGAGGGCAGTCTTGTGTACTTACTTTGAGCCGAGGAGACGAAAATATACTAAGAGAATATGCTAGTTGATCATTACAGGCAGAAGACATACTCGAACGTATCAAGGGACCTTTAGGTACGGCTGTACACAGACCGACAAGTAAGGCGGTGGTTGGTTTTTACGCGACAACAGCTTAACTACTATAGCTCCGTGAGAAGGTGTTACCCTGTATCCGAAAATCAACAGACAGACAACTTCGCCTACGAAAATTTCGCTGAAGGGGGGACCGCAGTAGAGGTTCTTGATCCAGTACTCCGTATACTTCGGCAGATCCCCGGGCGCGACTACCCCATAGGCCTCAACAGGCCTCAATATACTCCGTACTCGTAAATGTCTCCGTCGCGTTCCTCGCCCGCATCCCTTCTAGCCTTTCGACCCTAAATCGAAGCAGATCTTCTAAAGGCAAATCGAGCCAAATAGAAGGTGTATTGTTCGAATAAAGGTCGGCCCTCGCACGTCGCGTCGCATCCGCCTATTTACAGGTTATTGTAAGTGAAGCAAAGCGTGCGGTGAATTATCCTAGCATCTCAACAGACGCGATTACCTCGACTCCCTCGACGCGTGTTCGATGCCTTGATCCATCCTACTTATTTTAACGGCCCTACGAGGTTACGATGCCACTGCTTACCTCGACTGCTCTATAACATTACGATGTCACTACTTGCTTCGACTGCCCTGCGATGTTACGATGCTTCCGCTTCGACTGTTGACGCGGTTGTATGTTACTTCTTGCTTCGACTGCCCTAGCTGTTGTATGTCACTGCTTGATTAACTGCCCTACGCTGATTCAATGTCACTGCTTGTTCACACTGCCCTGCGCGCTTTGATTTCTATGATCACCAGACAATCTTCTTCAACGCCACCTTACTCCCCACCCTCCCCTCAATTGACCCAGTCCCTACATAGACATCCAACCTGCGTCCACCGCCTGTCGACCACCACCATCCTAGACCATCTCCACAGTCATCGACCAGTCGGCTACTTGGTCAAGTCAGGCCACTCACCGCGCAAACCAGCTCGTCAAGCATCCTCGATGGCCCGCAAGCTCCCCTAGGACCGAGAAGCCTCACCACCGGCAAAACGAGCCAGGACGACCGATCCTCGCAATGGCCCAACCTCACGTCCAGCTCCGCAGACCCGTACGCGCGCCAAAACCTCTTTTAGATCGAGATTAGATAAGAGAGGAGGATAGAAATGTCCACCCGTCCCCGAGGACCAACAATTCTTCTACAACTCTGTCATTCTGGTCATTTCGGTCGCTCCCGATCAATGGAACTATTTCTTTCGCACGGCGGTCAACTACGCCCGAGGCTACGGCGCAACGTGTGTCGAAATGTGGCAGGACGACGTCACGCGCGTCATGGTCAACGACGACGTGACGTGGACCCGCCTCCTCTCCCGAACACAACCTGTCGAACTACAGCTCTACGTACCCACGGTGTTTTTGAGCTTCGTCTGGTCTTGCATCCGGGCCAAGGCAGTTCTCGACCCCGTGCCGGAGGCCGACAAGGTGCTCAGACCCACGGACGAGCGCTCTTATTCTATCCCACTACACAAATACAAAGCAAACCGCGCGCGACAGCCGGACACCGAATCCTTGAAGCAGCAGCCCACTAAGCGAAAGCGTACATCGGGCGGCGACACCACCGATGACGACGACGATTCAGACGACGACTCCGCGAAAAGTGACGCTAGTGCCGAAAGTGAAAACAGTCCGCCACTTCTTGACCCCGGCGAGGACGGCAGGATCGCCAAAAAGAATCGTGAAAGCGCGACAGAGTTTCTCAAGCGACTTCTCCCTACCCGCGACCTTAGAGGCAACGCCCCGCGTATTTTTGTCGCCCACCCGTCGTCGCCTCGGTGGCCAGAACCAGAAACGTTGGCACGGCTCCAGCGCAGTGCCAAGCGGTGTCTGTCTGCATTCGCACGGGGACTGCTACGTCACGACCTGTCCGGCACAGAACTGGGCGTCAGCCGGCGTAAACTCAAGTCAGACATTCTCGCCGAAGCCTAGCTTGGCGGGTTCGTCCGGGGTCGCTGGCTTTTCTTGGTCGTCGCGGGGGTCGATTCGCTCTGGAAAATTACGGTCGAGGCCACGCTGAAGAACGATCTGGGCTGCGCCGCAGAAGTCTGGCGATATGGACGGTCTTACAACATCGCCATCCACACTCTCGACTTCGGCGACAAGGACGATCTTAAGAGGGTGTTTCTAAAGGCACGGGAGTTGGGCCTCGTCGCGAACCGATTCGAAACCACGTACTATAAACCGCTGATTTTTACCGAGCTTGGCTTGCATTCTAAGGACGAGTACGGCCTTAAGGTCTCGGCCACGGACAGCAGGTCCATCTTCAAGGCACAACGTTGATATGGTATTGCGCCGCCGTGTAGACGACGACGATCTAGATCAGCAGGGTCCATGGCCGGCGAGGGAGCCGACGAGGGAGGACAGAACATCCACCGCACTGGCCTGTAACGGGACCGACGGGAGCTGCAGGTGTGACGTGGTGGTTTACGAGAATTTCGCGCCGGCAAAGACTGGAGTTCCGAATCCCGGTATGTGCACAGCCACGATAACATTGTCTAGATAGATCTCATGTCAAGCATCCGTCTTCGGTGATCTGCTTGAGCTGTTTCTAGGACTGGCGGCGATGGGCGCAAGATTGATCTGACGGATCTGGCCATGGCGAAGCCTCTACTCTTCAGTCTGTTTATTTCGGACGTTATGAAACCTTAACCCACATTCTGTAGCCGCGCACATCGGCGCTTGTCGTGGCCGCGCAGCGAGGGTGTGACGCTGGAAAGCTTCGGTAGACGCAGCTGCAAGTAGTCCTCGCCGCGGGACGATCCTGGTGGCAACACTTTACTTGTCGAGGAGCGTCGGAGGGCCGTGGTTGACATGGTCAGATGGTTGAAGATGACGGCCGTTAAGGCTCGCAAGCTGGCGCCGTGCTTGTTGAGGGACCGGGGCGCGCACGGTAAGTACCAGTGACAGGCCGTCCGTGGCCTCGACAGATGCGGTGATCATGATTCTACGGTTGGACGATATCGCCTTCCGCCAAGATAAAATACGGCCTCTACATGAACCTAAAGGATCGCACTATTTCTAACGAGGCGAGAGGTATAGGTTCACTGAAGGTGTAGAGGACTTCCCTAAGTTCGGCGGAGACGACGTGCTAAAGTGAACGAAGGGATTAGTGAGTAATTGGCTTGGTGTTATATTCGGGAGTTAGAATCTAGAAGTCTATCGCAAGCACTGAAGGCTCAAAGGACCAGCCTCTAGGCAAGAAACGGGCGACACGAGATCGCCTAAGCAGAACTGAAGAAAAGCAGAATAGGACCCGAATCGGCGAGTTCCAATGAAATGTCCAGCGTCCAGCGCGCATATCTCTACGTGTGCCACACCCCATAAACCTTCACGAAGCTTCCCACCCCGACGTGGTGGCCCGTGGCCGATGGAGGCAGACAAGGCGTGAGCGAGAGACGGTCGTCCACCGAATCACTTCATAGTCTCCTGTTCCTGACCGTGGCACAAACACACATCTCCTCCAGGCCTTCTTCGCCTCGCCAGCCGGCAAGGAACTAATGGACGAAATAGCCTTGTCGCCATATTTTTGCGCGAGAGCACGCATTTGCCTACGCGGATGGCATTGCGAGACCATATCTCGTGCCTGTAAGCACCGCCAGCCATGACTTCCGCTACGCTCAGTAGATGATCGGTAACTCCCCATCTATACATCGCCTTTCTCGCCAACTTCCTCCCTACTAAGATTTTCAGGCCCCGCCGCCGTCCTGCCGGCTGGAGACTGAGTCGCCGACGACCTCACCGTGGTCTCGGGCAGGCTTGCCGTCGCCTGCATCTCGGCCCGCTTCACGCGTCGTGTCGCCATCCACTTTGTCCTGGGTGCCGCCCGGCCTGGGAAGCTTCAGCAGAAGCAAGGCATCGAGAAACATGGCGAACTTTATAAAGCCTTCTGCCCCAAATTGCAACGCGAGTCGTTCGAGCTTAGGGATGGGTTCGACCTAGAGGCCGATAATGATCCGTCGAACGGTGGCGGCTCCGTCTCGGGTGACCCTGAGTTCCTTCTCGAGCGACCTCGCGTCCTTGGTGTCGCCTTCTCTAGCGGCGCGCTTAATGTCGGCCGTGAGGTCGATCTCTCGCCGGACCGCTCGCGCGAGATCCTCCTTTTGGCGGGCGATCTCGGTAGAGACACCTTCACAGATATGCTTGACGTACCGTATCTACCCCTCGGACTCTCCGTGCGTGGCGATCTCGTTCTGCAGGCCTTTCAAGAAATCCTAAGTGGTCTGCGCTCTCGTCAAGAGTACAGCGGGAGACACCGCTGGCTGGAGACAGTGGATGAACTCTTTCCGATTGTTCTTCTCCCCTTTGATCCGACCTTCCATGGCTTTGCCACATACGCTTTCGGTCCAAAGCTTTCGACGAATGGCTTGCACCTCATCCTCCGCCTCTACCGGCACGTAGATGGACTCCTTCTTCTTGTTGTTTGTCGCGCCTCGCACGGGGTCGGAGGGTGCGGAGCGCGTGGTCGATGCGAGAGAGTCGGTGGCCGGACCTGGGTCCGCAGTCTCCCTTGCGCCGTGGACAGGTCCAGCTGGCGAGGTGGCCAGAGTCGGGATGGAAGCGCCAACCTAGGATCGAGTTTCTGTGTCTGGCGTAGAAGGAGCGGCGGGTTTCGATGCCGGATCAGAGGACGGAGCGCACTCCTATGGTGTATTCTTCGCGCCAGCTCGGTCTGTGAAGTAGAGTCAGCGGGGACGGCGCCTGGCAATGGGTTGGCGGTCACATTCCGAGCGCGTGCAGATCGAGCGGGACAGGGACACATACCTTTCCTCGCCTCTTCGATCATACGGTCGACGAAGCCCTCCTTTTGTCTAGAGAGCGGAGTGAGGCTGCCTAAATGACCATAGAATCTGGGCTTCTTCCGGTCTTACGGATCGCCGTCACGCCGGGCCGCGGGTAAAAGGGGATGCCAATCCTTGGAGTGTTGATCCGTGGGATCCTCGTCGATTACGCACGCGTCCTGGTCGTCGGCCTTATCAGTTGCGTTCGGCGCTTCTGGCAACTTGGTGGTGGAAGTGACGAGCTCTAGACTGGAACCTCGACGATCACCTGGGACGTCCGGTTAGGATGTCTCGGCCACGGCGTCTAGATTAGGTGCGTGGACTGTCACGGATCAGTGCGCCGTCCTGAGGCTACATGGTCACGGATCAAACGCCGGCATACCTAGATGGTCCATCGTATGGCAAAGACGCTGGTGACGACAGGACCCTTCCGCGAACGGGCAGGAGTGTAGCGGCGGCGGTAGTCGCGGTTAAATGAAGGTATGAAGGTGTTGTGGAGGAGAGGTGTGGAAGGAAGCATTAGTTGTAGCGAAGTTGACGTTTGCTTCCCTTCATCGTTCTGTGCTTTGTGCTTGTGAATATTTGCGTAATCACAGTACAGGTAAGTGTACTAGATGTCCTATACAAAGAATGGTCCCCTTTTAGGGCACATCAAAGCAAGCTTTCGCAATCACTGTATTCATCCACGGCAAACTTATCGAGTGAAGTCGAAGCGTGTAGTAGAGCTGGACCGGGTCTGTCTCCGTATACTACTTGTGAGAGATGGAGGGGCTTACAGAAACCTAGAATTCAATGTCTTACCGTCCTAAAATGAAGACACTCCAGTGTAGATTACGCACCAATGCTTCCCGTATATTAGAACAACGTAATCTACATTTGGAGCTTTCTCTAGGCAGTTGCGCCCTCGACAATACATATGATAGCTGGGGAGTAAAACGACGAAGCGGGTCTCGATAGTCGAAGGAAGCTGGTCTGATCTACGAGCACATCTGTGGGCATCCATGGCTCGACCGTTGGCATGGAGAGCCGCGTTGTATAGTTTATTTAGTGGCAGCATTTCTTAGGGTAGGAGGTGCTGGTCGCGGGCGTAAATCCCACGAGGCACTCTCCGATCAAGGATGTGTATGCTTGCTTAAACTTAGACATGGGAAGGGCTGCGTCCTCGTACATTGGCGAGAGAGCTCGACGGTAAAATGATGAGACAACGCGTGCACCTTACGGGGTATACTTATAGACCGCCACAGCCTCTTAGAAGTTGCACGCCTTGGCGAGTTTATGCCCTTTCACTTTCACATTCACGGCCTCTTAGTCTCTACCGCTATCGGTCCATCTGTATCTCTCCTCCGCTTTGCAACCGCCGAATAGGCGTTGCAATGGACACTAATCACCGCGCTTCTCCCTCTCCCCCGACTGGGGCTAGGTTCCGGTGCATAAATCCTCAACGTCCAAATGCAACGACGCTTGTGTCTCGGCCAACGCCGCTAATGCACTTTCTACCTCTTCCTGTCTGTGGCTCTCGGGCAGGGCAGTCGCCAGATGATGCAGTCTCAGGCTGATGTTGCGCCATTTGAGCCTCTTCTCGTGTCGAAGCAGTGCACTCTCGGACTGCGGCGCCAGCTCTCTCGCCGTCATCGTCACAGCGACCGACCGCAAAATATACCGGAGCGGGTACGGAATATGCTCGAGGCTCTGCCTATGACTTGGATCAGCTATTACGACACGGCCGCGTGGGTGCTGCCATTCTTACGCGGGTTCCTGGAAGTCTCGAATGACCTGCTGGGCGAAAGGCCAGGCTTGGTCGTTGTTGATCATCGCCAGGAACTTAGTGGCCGTCTCCATCTCGGTCGCTTCACTCCAGTCGGGTCGTGTCGCCGGGTCTGACTTAAGGTAGCGCATGTAATCCACCACGAGGACGACGAACAACGCCCTGCCCCGCACGGTATTGAGGTCGTCGTAACTTGACAGATCTCCCACGCGGTCCGCGTTAAATACGAGGGCGGTCATGTCTACGGTACGTTCGCACACCGCTGGAATAACAGTTAGAGACTTAAGCACCCTTACGTGGGGAAGGTTTTCTATACGGTGTCGAAGGACCACCTGGTAAAGTTCGACGACATATAAGGGCAGCCTAACGAGACACGAAGCTCGAAGCTCTCGGCGGTTAGGCTCTCACCCGTTCTAAACCGGAAGACCGTCCGGCACCGTGCAGCTCATGACCAGCTATCGCTATCCGAGATTCGAAGCCCCCCCCAACACCTTGTAGAGATCAGCTACGCCACCGCGACCAGTGACCGTCAGGCGTCACCCCCCGGCGTGCTGGCCTCCGCGTCTGGATTCTCGACTCGTCGGCCGGCCTCGACGGACGCTTTCATCAACCGAGTAAACAAGATGCCGTACGTCGTCACATATTCCTCTTCCCCTACGGCCGGCACGTGGCGATACAGTATTTCCAATGCACCCAGAATCCCTTAACCGCCTACGACCCTGAAGGGCTTAAAACCACTCCACGCCGACCTGCCTGCTTTCCGCCCCTTCCAGACCGCCCTCTGGGGCCATGCCCGGTCCCTCTCACGCCTGAACTGTCGCACGCAGAGGGCGTGCAGATCTCTCGAGCGGGCCACGTACGGTTTGGGACTGAGGTACACCGTAACCGGAGCCCCGCTCAGACCATCCAGCTGAGGCCGCTCCAGTTACGTCTCTTGGACCTCGACGTCGAAAGGCAGGATCGGAATCTCGTCGTCGACCCACCCGTAGGCGCTCGAGAGGCGATGCAGGCGCGCCTACGGCTTCAACCGCTCCCACTTAGCTCGCTCTCCTTCAGCCCACACGTACGGCAAGTAGAACAGTTCTGGGACCGCTTTAAGCGCCTTGTGTGCTTGGATATTGTTGGCCGGTCTCGGGTGGAGGTTGAAGACGAAGACCTTGCCCAGGCCGTTCTTGCAGCAGACTTCCGTCAAGGCCAACGCTACACGCGCACCGCTACCCAGGTGATTGTTGTATCGATCCGCACCTACGGACACCCAGGCGTTTTGTGGGCGGATGTTTCCGTCGTCGTCTTCACGGTAGAACTCCACGTCCGCCTCCATCGTATGGAACCGATTTCCGTCCAGTCTCGCCAGCGGCGCGGTGTTGACATTTCGCGGCATTGTCAGGAGGGGAAACAGACGTGGATGACGACTTGGAGATGTTCACGCGAGGGGGAGTTGAGCGTCCTGCAATTGACAGAGGTACGAAGAGACGGTATTATCGACGCACACTTTGCTTCCCGCGAACCGTCGCAGAAGCACCTTGCACTCCGCACCAGTAACCGCTTAAGCCACGATACACTAGGTTACACCATTAGAAGTAGCTGAAACTTATGCATCCGTCACATCTAGCAAGCACGGCTATAACGGTTACGGGTCACGACCACGGGTGGCTACGCTCTTGCAAACACTGGACTGCTAATTACAACCTTTGTATTCGCGGGCATTCACCTAGTTATTGGCAACCTCTCTCTACTTTAGACTTTCGTGTGAACTACGATGACCACGTGGCGTGGCACCACATACGCCCTCATCCTACGGGTCGTTTACTTCGCCGATGCGGGTGTCCAGCTAGGTGGGAAGACGGACGTTTTCAGGCCCAGAATCCGCACGCCTCGCACGTCGGTGGGCTTGTCTCCGCGAGACACGGCAGGTTTAACGCCTTCAGAGCTCTATCGACACAAATCCGTTACCCCGTAACGTGCGTTTCTTGGTGAGTAGAGAGCTGGACAGCACCCAGCGAAGAAACTCTCTTCAAGTTTGCGAGCGTCCCGCGGGGTGTTCTACGTCGCTTCCCAGAACCACTGGTAAACGAGGCCTCGCGAGCTCTTCAAGACCTATGAAGCTAGACGACCGCCTCAACTCGTTCCTACTCATCCTTCAACGACAACCACCTCAACTCGTGCCACTCATCCTTCAACAGACCCCCTCAACTCGTGCCACTCATCCCTTTACCGACAATGGCCAATTCAGACGAACTCCGCGACCTAGTCAAAGGTCAGCTTATCAGGATCCAGATCTCGAACGCCGCGGTGTTCAAAGCCGATTGCAGTGCGATCCTCGAAACGGATCTACGAGAGTTTGTGCGTGGTGCCGAAGGCGCCTCTGCCGACGCGGGAATCCTCGTGGGGGCACGCGTGACCAGCTTTCGGGGGTCCGACGACCGCCTCGCGAAAGTGATCCAGGCAGGAGAGGCTGGTGAACCCGACAACGTCGTCGCCGTCGATTTCAAAACCATCATACCCGTCGTCAGCACGTTCGGCAAAGACGGTGGTTGCTACCACTACAAAATCAGCTGCACACGGGTCCAGAAACAGAAATGTGCGGCACTCATTGTGTTTAATCCCGCCTCCCCACACTTAGTCGCGGTAATTCCCATGTTCTACCTGGAAACGAGCAATCGATACCTAGACCGCAGGGCCGACTCGACCCCATTCACAGCTAGAAAGATCCCCTACTTCGGCGGGTTCATCGAGCTATTTCCGCTCGAGTGTACGCCCTTTATAATGCCCATCGCGTTCGCCAGTCGGTCGCTCGACCTCCTCCGTCAATTTGCCGCGGGCGAAATCTCGACTTGGTACGCCCGATGGGATCCGTGGGGTGCGATCGTGGCCATCTACTGACGTGTCGACAGGAAAAACCCCTACAACGACCTGACTTTCACCGATTGCCCGCGGCCGGTCCTGTCGAGTTTTCGGATCCTCTTACCGCCGGAAAACTCGCATTTAACCGACTACCCCTTCCTCGAGCGAGTTCGCCGCGTCTTTCTCCGGTACGGAGGCGATTACCGGATCGACATGCCCCGTGTGCGCGCGTCGAGCGGAGATCTAGTGGTGACACACCTCCCCTCCATGGCGCGCGCCATGCTCGAGGTCAAGCGCTGGCTCATACACTTAGTCGACGACCGAACCGTCCGGCACGACGCCTACTACTGGTCGGACGAGGAGCGTGGGTGCTACTTCACCCCTTTTACCTCGTGGGATTTCCTCCTTAGCACCACGGCGCGCGGAGACAAGGCCATCCTCGTCTCGCGGGACGACCTGCCGGTCGATTGGTTTGCACAACAGCCCGAGTTAACCCGCACCGCCGCGTTCGCCGCGGGGTTTCTCGAGCGCCACACCCTCCACGGCGTCAAGCCTCTCGAGGATGGGCGCGCCGACGCACACGCCCGAAGGGGACTGGCAGCGCAAATGATCGCCATCTGGGACCGATACCGGAGCGAAGGCAAGTTCTGTGCACGGAGACACCTCGAATGGCACCACATCTCGGCCCCCACGGTCGATCTAGGACCGGAAGGCGCCCCTCTCGACGCCACGGCGCCGGCGCGGGCGTCTCCCCCGTCGAACCCGGGTCACGGAGGCCCCCCAGGTGCGCTTTTCCAGCGCCGAATGTACCCTTCCCGCCAGGCGGCCATCTTTAACGGCGTCTGTGCGGCCCAGTAAGCACCTCGTCGAGCAGATGCCGCGCGCGGTCGAACTGACAGGGAAACAGTAACAACTGCGCCGTCTACAAACTAGGCCGCCATCCGTCCGCCACCCACATCTTCGCGCTGGGACGGGCCGACGGCATTGTGGACTTACACCCCGACACGCCGATGGTGTATTTGAACTTCGCGCAGGTCGACATACTTCACTCGAGGCCACACGACAAACAAATACCGTCGTCGTTCTTCCCCGCGACCCACGGCAAGTCTAAGTCCATCTACGTCCTGAGCCCCGTGCCGGAAGAGCTCGACGACCTGCCCCACCATCATTTCGTCCTGCCATCCGAGGCGTTGTGCACGGAGAGCCGCGTCAGGGTCAACGACGAGCAGTTAAAGCCGCGACTGTCTAGCGACGCGTAGCGCGCACCCCGACGCGCGACGTCGATCGCCCTCCAGAACGGGGAACCGCTGGTGGCCTATCGGACGCCCCGACGAGCCCTAGAGACGGCGGTCCTACGGCTGTTTCGATAGCGGTTCGAGGACGAGTGTCTGCTCCTGGGCGACACCAAGACGGGTCTAGGCACGACGATCCAGCTGCGGGAGTACATCACCACGCAGCGCGAGGTCCTAGGCGAATACATCATGCTGATGAACGGAGACTCGTTCTTTCGTCGGGGTGAGAAACCGTTCGACGCCTCGTCGGACGAAGAGAGCGGCGACGGGGACAAGGGGGACGGTGACTAGCCGCGGCCGCGGTAGTGGGGGCCCTGCTCGTCGATGCGTAACGCACCGAACCGGCGACGTCTCCCTTTGTGTCGTCGATGGATGGCTCCTTCTCTACGCCCCTGCCTCGACGGTGATCGACGCATCTTCAATGTCGAGGCAGTCGATCGATGCCTCCCTCGAGGCAGCGGATGGGAACTGCCACGGTAGCGGCGCCCGCACGCAGTGGCAGAGTCGGGTGTCCTTAGCCTCCCGTCGTCTTCCTCCACCGCACCGTCGCCCACAGGTGACGACCCCGAGAGCCGACCTCGGATGTGTCGCACGTTTCCACGTCCCAGCCGAGAAGACCTTACGACCTCCCACGAGGAGCAGACGAGATGGGACCGCGGCCGAGCAGTGACGGCGAGGCGACCCGAGTCCCCGCGCGCAGCTGGCAGGATCTCCCCACGTGTAAGGTTCCGAAGCCGATTGATCGACTGGACTGACGAGGTTCGCAGACCGCAGCGACCGTGGCCCCTGGGGTCCGAGCAAGCCGTTGACCGACGATGGTAATTGGGCGGACGGTCTGGGTCTTTCCGACGGGGAGCTGAGCAACTGGAAGGCCGCACCGTGGGAACGACACAATCCTCCTCTATCCAAGCCGGCGCCGACCAGCACACCGCGACGCAGCCGGCCAGCCAAGAAGCACACGGTGGTCTAAGGGGGAGGCAACATCACCATCGGGATGAAAAGCAAGAAGAGAACGGTAACGGCGGCAGCCACCTCTGAATTATATGTCGCTCACTGATGTATGTTGTGCAGGCCGTCCTTGATCTCGACGACGACGAGGTTCCCGAGAAGTCTGCGAAGAGGCGGAAAGGTGCATAGGTGGGTCGAGTGCGGCATCTGGTGGGTTTGCGCCTCTAACGAAACTAACCGCAAGTGGTCCGCTGGTCTGTCGTCGCGGGCGCTAAAGTAGGAGGAGTAGTGAATAGGGGGACAGATATGTAATTATTGTGAGGCCTAGAGCGGAAAAAAAGGCCGTGCTAAGAAGGCCAACATGGGACGTACGACGGGAAGGCGCTGCTCGGTTTTCGGTCGCGAGACCGTCTCTGACCACTCAAAGGATTAGTTAGAGCCACGGCGGGTTTCGCTCGTCTAGAGACAAACAATCTGAAGTGGAAGTTGGGGTTTAGACCGCCGACAAAGACGTAAGGTGAGACTCTAACCGACTCTTATAATGCCATATTGCAGACCACGGTGAGCATCACAGCCAACTAACCTAGGTGACAATAGCGCTGAATCACGACGCGCGAGTATATCGGGGTCGGTTGTACATAAGATGCTTGGAGGTATCCTCCCACATGATGCTCGACTATGTTCTCTTTCACCCGGTTGGCAATAGCTCCACGTAGTAATAGGTCAGCAATGGTTTGTGCTTGCATCTACGCATGTAGACCCTCCCTGACTTGAACAGGACACACCACCACCGGAGATGCCGTCCTTAGCTCACGTGGGAGGTCGAACTATCCGCCCAGAACATCCATCGTCGGGGGTAACTAAGCGCTAACCGTCCGAAAGCCTAGATCAACCAGCCGCTAAGAGACGTCGACCCGGAATCACCTTCGACATTCTCTGCCGCCTGCGGCCGAGGTCACCCGCGCCCCTGTGCCTGGCGGTCCTCGTTTCCCTCTGTGCGTATCTACACACGATCATTCGACTCGGGTGTGAGATCGACGGCAGTACCTTTAACCGCTTCATCCTCGACCATTCCACCTTCCAAGCGGCGCACCTAGACGGCTCCAACGACGGACCTGCGGTGTCGTACCACACGTGGTTCCTTGCTCGGGACCTGCCTCCCGAAGATGTCCCCTCCGTCGTCAGCGTCGCCGTGCTCGAGGAGATGTCCGCGGAGAACCCTTACACTTTTCGTCTTATCGAAAGACTTTTGATGAAAGCCATCCGTCAGTTGGAAGGTGGGCGTTGAGTCGAGTGCCGCGGGTCGGGTGCGATGTAGTTTCACAAAGCAATCCAATCAGAGGTTACATGATTTGGTGGGCGACGTCCTGTGTCGTGTAAGGAGCGCCGCGACATCAATGCTGGTGGTACTATTATGAAACAACGCCATCTAGAAGTCACCATGCTACATTATATGAGTGCAAATCCCTTCCAAGAGTAGAGTTCATCCCGGATCGCCCCATTGCGTGTGTCCAATCCAAATACTCGAATGCAGAGCGTCCCGGTGTGAGAACCGACGCACCTCATCTCTCACGGTGCCGTCTCAGCTTCCAGCTCATGACCACCTCCCACATGAAGTCCCCCTCCATCTGCCGCAGCTTCAACCACGTCGGGTCCGTCTGGCTGACCCCGTGGCCCAGGGCTCGCTGTTCGTCGAGGTGCCCGCGCCAGACGGTCCCCGCGCGTGCGATCTCGGAGAGGCGCCGATCACGCGGTAAGAGCCCGTGGTCGTCGCGGATGTATGCCCAGTACACCACCACGGACTTATAAAACTTGACCCGACAGAAGACGCACGCGAACACGGGACTCCGGAGAGCGTCGCGAGATCGCGGCACCCCGTCGTCGGGCGCGAAATCCGACGCCCTCAGCTCGGTCGACTACGTGCTCACGGCGGCGGACAGGGGCAGTCGCGTCTCGAACGTCGCGTAGGGGTGGTCCGCCGGCGCGGGCGGGGGACGCCACGCGCGGCCCCGTGCGAGGCTCAGGTTGGCAAATTAGATGCAGTACGCCTCCTCGACCGTCAACGCCGCCCGCGCCATCAGGCAGGGGGGGACGTGCGCGGGGTCCGCGCAGTGTCGGGGCACGGGGTGTCCGTACTTGCGGAGGGCGATCGCCGCCAGGTAGTAGTCGTTGCGCGAGTAGTTCGCGGACTGCGACTCGTACTTGAGATCGTGGGGGACGATGTAGTGCGGCTTGTGGCAACGGTGGGAACCGTGCATCGGCGTGTAGGGGCCGAAGCCGAAGAAGTTGTCGGTGTCGACGCCGCGCCGCGGCTCCGTAAACCAGGCGGCGGCCCGGCCGAAGGGTACGTTGTGACCGGCCATCGCGAATCGGAGTCTCTCCGCCTCCGACGGTAGGAGGTCTCGCAGTCGAAAATGGTCTAGTAGGTATAGCGGATCTGCCGCGGCCCACATCTGTGGGACTTGCACGCAGGCGGCGTCCTGGGTCGGGGCGACGCCCCACGCGGCCAGGAGGATGCGTTGCCGGTGCTCGAACTTCAGACGCCCCGCGTCGGTGGCCCAGACAGAGAGTTTCTCGTCGTACGAGCTGGGTGGCCGGACCATCGGGTAGCGGGGAATCTCTGGCAGACTTCGAAGGACGCCGAGGTCGTTAGAGGGGTCAGCAACGGGAGGGTCAGGAGTGTCGTGGCGGTGAACCTCAGCGTTATAGATGTTAGCATTGTAGAGGTCAGCATCGTGGATAGCAGCATCGTGGACAGCAGTATCGTGGACAGCAGCATCGTAGACAGCAGCATCGTGGACAGCGGCACCTTATGAATGCGACGGCGAGTCTGGGCGAGGACGAGGTTTGCTCTCTATGTCACTAACATCCGTCCCGATCCCACCGTCGCGCAAGCTTTCGAGGGCAGCGCCAACCGTACCCGCATCTTGGAGCGAAGGGGAGGCGCGTTGCGGGCTGTAGAGGTTAGCTTCGTCGACACCGCTGACGTTTAGTACTTTAATTGCCACACCGATAGCTGGTATCTCGAGGGCCACACCGACAGCTGGTACTTTAATGGCCACGTCACCAGCTTCCGGGCTCGATCTCTCCTAACGAGCGTCGGCCGCGACACTCTGACGGGCGGGAAAAGAAGCCTGGCCGGCGAAACGCTTTCGAGCAGACTCGAGATGGCGGACCCATTAAAAGCCGATGGCGCGTTGCGTGTGCGTGGTACTGGGACGGATCTCCGAGATCTGCCAATGGTGGTACCGAAGCCAGCCGGCCAGACGGTAGGCGGTCGCGTACAACTCCGGCAGGGCGTCGTCGTCGAGACAATAGTGCTACCAGCGCCCCGTCTGTCGACCGGCGAGTGTTAGTCGTACGATGAAGCGGACGTCGTAGTCGTCCAACGACCAGCCGGTCTTATCGGAATGCGTTTCGACGAACCGCGGTTCCTCGGCGCGCAACGCCCTTAGCGAGTTGTTAACCGTGTACGTGGCCTGGGAGCGACGGATCTATGTCCCGTGCGCGTCGAACCGCGGTGTCGGACGATCGAAGATCGCCCGTGCGTATTCGTCGTACACCTCCGTCACCTAGTCCTGCGTTAACCAGCGCGCCAGGTCCTCCTTACTGTCCAAGCCGAGCCGTTTCCGTAACGTCACCTCGTTATTCGCTCGTAGGTGGGCGGGGGTGGTGCGGCCCTCGGGCTCCTCGAGAAGCAAGGGACGAAAATGGGCCGGGGGGGTGCTGACGTCTGGAAACAAACGACCGTCCGACCGGGGATCGTGCGGGAGGGCTTCCCGTGATTCACGCCGAGCGTCGCCGGCGAGCACACTGCCACTCTCCACCGGGGTGTGTGGCGAGTGCAGGCGCGGCGGGTGCGCATGTCGGAGGGGTCCGTCGGTCGGGAGAGTGTGCCGTACTACACGGTTCCAGCGGCCTTGCTAGGATAGAGCGGTATGCCTGTCGTTCTGTCGGGCGATCAGCGGTTAGCCACACGTCCAGCTAAAGAAGTCGACACCAAGTACTCACGACCGCGGCAAGGTCCCGGAATATTCTAGGACCGGTGGACCGGATACCCTCCCTCTCGGCGCTCGACACCCAGGCCTTAAGTTCCTCGTCGTCCTCCTCTGTGAACGTCACCCTAAAGGTCACATTTAGCGCCCGTCGAGACCCTCGAATGGGAAGATCACAGGCGAGACCACCGTTATCCTCGATGGTCAGCCCGCAGTAAGCCAGGCGGTCTAAGGCACCGAGTGTAGAAGGCCCAGGCGTCGCAGGAGACGCCACGCTTCGCGACGGAACCTCGGTTTCTCCTACGTCGGTCGTCACCACACCTCGCGACACGATCTCGGTTTCTCCTGCATCGGTCGTCACCACACCTCGCGACACGATCTCGGTTTCTCCTTTTACATCCGTCGCCACGCTGGCAGTGGATGTATCCTATCGTGCTGTAAGCAATATAGAGACGACTAATTCTGATCGAGTACCTACCTCTATAAGGTCCTCAGCAGGCACAGCCGTACTCTAACCCGCACCCATCTTGTTCGCCTATGTTCAGGATGTCGACGAGGCCTCGAGAAGACGAGATGCGGATGAGTGCGAGACTGCGAAGAGTGATGGGAGAGTGCGAGGGTCACGGCCCCTATTAATCAAGAACTCTTAGACAGCCATCCGAGACATCGTCAGCTTGTAAATCCTGGCGGACAGGTCAAGCACACATCTCATTGCGCCTAATGAGAGGCTGACCTCCTGAGTCGCTCCATCAGTCCCTGGGAGCGTGTCAAAGCCACTTTTCGGTGGGTAGAGCCACTGGTGCGGGATACTGGTCCATCAGGCGCAAAGCTCTTTCCCATTTTCGAGGTGGCCGACGTCGTGTCTCAGAAAGAGAGCAGCACCACGGACAGATGTTCCACATCCGTTGATTACCTGGAGACGACACAAGACCTGGGAGATCCTTCCTGGCCGTTCGCGATGAGGTTGGCGTAGACTTCGATGCGCGATTGTCGTGATTAGGATGATTAGTTGTCGCGGCCGATGGACCACCCTAGAGCTCGTCAGTGTGCAACCTGTAAGATGGCGATCTTCTACTACCTAGAACTGTACGGCGATCTCGTTTCATAAGATATTCGTCGAGAGAGTACTTATGTACTTTACTAAGTTTTATAACAATAGTAGCCTTATAAACGGAAAGGCTAAACTGAAGATTAGATTTTAAAATTAGCGAGGAGTAAGTTTAGATATAGTAAAGATTTCTATCTTAGCTTTTAGCTTTAATTTATAATATTATCTCTACAAGAATTTCCCGCCCCTGACACTTCTGTAGAGTCTGTGTTGTAATTTAGGACCTTATCTTGTGGTCATTAGCTTGTATAAGCAAAGTTTCGAGATATGGCTGACCTTAGTGTTATAAAGTTTATAGGCTAGAAATTCATTAATTTAAGGTTAAGATTAAAAGGGCTCTCTTCACTAATAACAAGTTAAGATTTCAGAGTCCCTATTTACTAATAAAAAGTTGTATTAAGCTATAAGCTTACTAAGCTAGACTAGTAAATATCTTAATACTAGTTATTAGGAAGGTTAGTATAGTAGTTCTAGGTAAGTATTATTTAGCTTATTATTAGCGCTACTCCTTTCGACTAACTAGTAAGGGTTAGGTCTTTAGTTATAATACTCGAAATAAGGTGTAGAGTATTAGGAACAGCTACTAGAGCTTACTAAGCCTGCCAAGAGGACGCATACAACTCTCGCGCCTCTCGCATGAGAGTCCCATCTGTTACACACGGCCTCGCAGGAGACCGGCCACGAGTCGCCAAGCAGAGACTCGCTACGTTCATTGGACACCTGGAGGGAACACAGGGCGAACCA